ATTTTAAGAGGGTTGTACCAGTTGGTAAGGATATTAAGATTGTAACTCTTGTAAAATAAGCTCTTGTATCACTTTCTAAACCTACAATATACATATGATCCCCCCCAAACAATACTTCCAAGAAGAGAAATAGATGACATGGCAAAGATCATTCATTGGTTACCAAAGGTTCTTAATTGTAAACTTCGGGATGTCCAAAACACCAAAATACTGTAAATGCTCATAGAACATGCGATAGGATCAAAGAAAAGTGCATTCGAATGAAGATCACCCAATATGAAAAGAAGTGTACCAGATAAGATTGGTAATGTTAATAAAGGCATGAAAGTTGCAACCAAGAAAGCCCAAGGAAATAATGGGACAGTCTTTGGCGTCAGATAATCAGAACTCAGGTTTAGAATTGTTGTCCAGAAGTTTAGAGATGTAAGACATGAAGATATACCAGAGATTACTAATCCAAATACAAGATTTCCTGTGCTTGAAGGTGCTAAGGCCATAAACGAAATGGATAATGGTGGAAACATGTTCATCCTGTACCACCTCCAAATTCTGAGATTTATTTGTCAGGATTCGGAAAAGATATGAAAGTAAACGAATTAAGATAGGAAAAATACTGACTTTAGGATATACCACTACTGCAGACCCTTGAAAGATAGGTACAAAATAATTTCCACATCCTCCAAACAAGCCAGGCATTACTAAAAAGAAGATCACAAGAAAGCCAATGCAATGTAATGCTCACATGTAGAAGTTCTGGCTTTCTAGAGATATAATCCTAAACCCTCCAAATGCCTAGAGCCCCTACACCTCGTACAGGGGGTTGTAGGGGTTTAGGGTTCTGTACTCCCTAAAGCCTTAACCTGGCCTGTGAGTAAGCGCTCGGCAGCGAAACTCGCAGACAGGGAGGAATGCCTGGTGTTGCAGGAGGGTTTGGAAGATATAGGGAGTACGTATCCTTGACTCAACCCAAACAAAGTTACTGCGGGGCTGAATACCCTCGCCCCCCCAAAAGGTTAACCTTTTGCATGTAGTAGGATTCCATATAACCAAAAAGGTTGAAGGTTACCAGCCCAGTCCCTAAGATTACAAATCTGATCATAGCAACCCTCCGAAAAGCAAAACGGTGCCCCTATTTCGAGACCCTCAAGGGCTTCAGGGTTAAAAGGGTGTCTGTGTGAAGGCTTCAGCACACCCACTCAACCAAAACTAACGAACGGCAAAGTTGATTGGGGTGCTTCAGAGGGCTCTCTGCAGAAGAAAACTGCAAAATGTGGGCCACAACTTTGTTTGCCAAACGCCCTAAACCCGAAACCCGAAACCCTAAACCCTAAACCCTAAACCCTAAACCCTAAACCCTAAACCCTAAACCCTAAACCCAGCTAAGGACAGAGGACCCACATACTTAGCGCCCTACAAAGCTTGAGGCTCAACGTACAAGTTCCTGGGTCCCCCTGGAAGCCCTTCTGAAGTCCTTCAGAGCTCACAGCGGGGTTTAGGGTTTAGGGTTTAGGGTTTAGGGTTTAGGGTTTAGGGTTTAGGGTTTAGGGTTTAGGGTTTAGGGTTTAGGGTTTAGGGTTTAGGGCTTCGCCCTGGGGCTTCTGATCTGAGCGGCTCCCTTCCACATTGTCTTGCGCCTCTGGGTGCTGGCTAGCACCTTGGTTTAGGGTTTAGGGTTTAGGGTTTAGGGTTTAGGGTTTAGAGTTTAGGGTTTAGGGTTTAGGGTTTAGGGTTTAGGGTTTAGGGTTCAGGGTCTTGGTGGTGCAGTCCTAGTCCTTAAGCCTTAGACACCTCATGCGTTGTCGGAAGAGCCCCTTGAGAAAATCAGGGCCTTATAAGCCCTAAATCCTAGCCCCTAAGCCCTAGAAACCTCATGTGTGTTTCTGAAGAGCAAAACCCTAAACCCTAAACCCTAAACCCTAAACCCTAAACCCTAAACCCTAAACCCTAAACCCTAAACCGAAGGTCCCTACAAGGGTTTGGGCGCAGGCCCGGGGAGTCGGCGAGCAGTCAGCTTAGTGCTTCTGCTGGTCTAAATCAACAGACAGAGGCCCGAAACCCTAAACCGTAAACCCTAAACCCTAAACCCCAAACCCCAAACCCCAAACCCCAACTCTTAACCCTAAAGGGCAAAAGACAGAGATGGATGAAGGGAGGGTCTTTCTGGGCCTAAACCCTAAACCCTAAACCCTACACCCTCCTAAACCCTAAACCCTAAACCCTAAACCCTAAACACCAAGGTTGTGGGCTTTGAGCAAGTCAGGCCCGCGGGCTCAAGTTCTCCTCCAAAAACGGGGAGTTCGGAAATTTGAGCATCGATGCTGTGAGCCGAAGCACGTAGAACCACACTCCTTGCCCTAAACCCTACACCCTACATCCGAAACCCTAAACCCCAAACCCTAAACCCTAAACCCTAAATCCTAAACCCTAAACCCCGGCAGAACCCCAGCTAGCAGACTCCGAGACCTCACAACTTCGACCTGGGCCGAGGGTACATTCAACCACACTTCCAGCTGAACGTTTGGTTGAAGCAGCATTGAATTTAAAAAAAAACAAAAAACGGCACAACCCCAAAACACCTAAAAAAAACCTGAAATGCTCTAGTGCCTGAACAGAGGTGCTGGTGGACTTCCGGATGAAAGCCTCGAACTGTGCCTTGTCTGCCTCGAGCGTGCACTGAAAAAGGGGAACCTCTTGGTGTGTCGGCTTAGGGTTTAGGGTTTAGGATTTAGGGTTTGGGGTTTGGGGTTCGGGGTTTGGGGTTCCGGGGTTTCGGGTTTAGGACTTCTTGCCATAGATCTTCGTGGTTCGAAATAGGGACTTAGGTCGCTATGTAATCCCTCAACGGGTTGGAAGAGGGGGTTATCGGGTACCGAGCTCCCTGATTCCACCCCCAAAAAACCAAGTGGAGGAACGCTGAACCCTAAGACCTTGAGAAGAAGCCGGTTTGCGCAAGATGTGGCCGTCCCGAAGCCCTGAGGCCTAAACCCTGTCAAGCTTCCGGCTTGATCTAGGCTTGCTCCTCTACGGTCATGGCAAATAGCCTGGTGGTACGCCATCCTAACAGCCAATAAGCCACGAAACCCGGAAGGCAAAGTGAAACGTCTGCCCTAGACCCTAATCCCTAAACCCTAAACCCTAAACCCTAAACCCTAGACCCTCAGGGGCATGCCACTGTTGTTGCTGTAGGCAATGCTGGGGCAAGCACAAGTCTAGGCAGGGGGGAGGGAGGGAGTGGGCTCAGGATTAGAGCGGAGGGTGAAAGACCCAAGTGCCTCAACCCCCAACCCCCAACCCCCAACCCTAAACCCTAAACCCTAAACCCTAAAATCTAAACCCTAAACCCTAAACCCTAAACCCTAAACCCTAAACCCTAAACCCTAAACCCTAAACCCTAAACCCTAAGCAATCACTGATGCCGACCTGGTCAAGCAGGTCGGTAAACTTCACGCCACGCAGATCTGTTGGGGTCGCCAGAACACGCCTCTGCAGGTCTCTCTGCTACCACCTCACCCCGGGTTTAGGGTTTGGGGTTTGGGGTTTGGGGTTTAGGGTTTAGGGTTTAGGGTTTAGGGTTTAGGGTTTAGGGTTTAGGGTTTAGGGTTTAGGGTTTAGGGTTTAGGGTTTAGGGTTTAGGGTCGGATTCAACTTCTGTGACAACTCATTCGCAGGTCGAGAGCCAGGTTCATCCTGCAGAAACTGCACAGCTTCAAGTTCAACACTAGGCTTATGGGACTTTACTATATATATATATATGTATATTTATTTATTTGTTTATTTATTTATTTTTTTATTTGAACACGTATCGCTTTTTGTTCATATGTTCAGATATATGCATTTCTAATATACAGAACTGGGTTGTTTTATAGTCAAAAGCCAATATGCACGTGGGGTAAACCTACTTGTTGATGGGCTTGTAAGTGGGACAGCTAGGGAACCCCATAAACCTCATATCCTAACTTACTGGCTCTTAGCAGGGAATCAAGCTAAATCAGGTAGCTTACTCGATCCCCCTTTCTGTACTATTACTTTGGTACCTCATTCCCTCATTCCCTACGTACGAAGAACCAGGAGGTAAACCCAGAACTCTCAGAGAAAGCATATGGTCCCAGAAGTCTGCGTGCGAGATCTGCAGAGACCCTTCCAGTGGCTGCAGTGGGAGTTTGTCTGTGGACGCACCGCCTCAATAGGATCTCCGGGGGCCCTACGAGAGCTCCACACTCGTGACCCTAAACCTGAAACCGACCCACGCTATGCCCGAAGAATCCGACACTGATCCCTAAATCCTCAACTCCCAGATTCAAGCCCCAAAAGTGCCCTAAAGCCAAAAACCGGAAGTGCAGGGAAGGTTCGGGTCAGGGCTTCGTGCGCTTTGCCGTACTAAACACTCTCCCTTAGGGTTTACGGCTGAGGCTGTAGGAGATAAGAAGCCACAGCTTGTGGAGGGTCGTCCTGCTCTTGACGGTATGCCTTGCAGTTCTATACTGCACCCCCAGCAAGATCATATCAGACAAGCAGATACAGGTACACATACGTTAAAATTCTTGTTATTCGTACTACTGTTAATTATTGTTAAGGGTCAAGCAGGCCAACTAAGATATCAGCAAAAGGCATCTAAGATATCAAGTTGGGGTGCCCTACACTCTAAACTCTAAACCCTAAAACCTCATATGCGTCGCGCCTTTTCTGCATCCGCACTGCTGCCATCCTGAATCATCCACACTGTTGCTGAATCATGTTCACCAGTCCTGCAGCACTGCAGTCCTCAAGCATTGAGGACCACAAAATGTTGTCAGGGAGTCAGGACTGTTCACCAGTCCTGCAGCACTGCAGTCTTGAAGCATTGGGGACCATAAAATGAATTAAAATTATTTTCAGGGAGTCAGGACTGCAGGACTGCAGGACTGAAAGCAATGAATTACATGATGTTGAAAGTCAGCCACACTGACTGAAACAATCAAATTTAATTATCCGCCCTGGGAATCAGCTAGCCAGCCTGAGGCTCACTGAAACATCTTGTCGTGCAACTGCGCATAAAAGCGGACAGCACACTTGTAGTTGTAAAACTCCTTCTCCCACGTTCTCTTGCTCATTGGCTTCATCGGCTCCGGAGTGACTGGCACTGGTTCTGGTAGTGGCTGCTTCTCATCCTTGAAATGCTGAACCATGCGCTGGGTGAACTTGTGCTCCTCAGTCTTCTTCAAGCACTCGAGAACGGCAGTCCTTTTTGCATGTACTTCCTCCCGAGTCAAAAGTCTAGGGCCGTCTTTGGTGGCCATGGCAGAAGACTGTAGGGGCTGGAAGACAAAGGACTGGGCCAGAGCAGCTGCAGTCAAGTTTTGAGACACCATCCTCAACAGAGGTGGCGGCTTTTCAACTAACCCCCCAACCCTAAACCCCCAACCCTAAACCCTCAACCCTAAACCCTACCCAACTTTAACATACCTCCCAGGTCAGACACAGTCCGAACACAGTCTTACAGTCTTGCAGGCTACTTCAAAGGACTGCAGGACTGTAGGACTGCTCTGCCCTTGGGGGCAGCTCGCTGCTGCCCTGCCCTGGCCGCTGCTGTGCCCTGGCCAGCACGGCGGCGCAGAAGAAGGCCTGGGCAGGAGCAGGGTTTAGGGCTTAGGGTTTCAACTTAAAGTAGAAAAAACTTGAAAAGAGGCAGTAGCCTTCAAATGCAGGCATCCTATTTTGCGCACATTCTGACGCTCATGATGTTCTGCCCAACCACCAGACAAAATGCAGCTGGCAAACAACTTGTGGTTGAAGCTGCTGTAGTTGGTTCAAATTACTGTAAAGTCAGCCAAAACTGCAAGACTGCAAGACTGTCTACAATGAAGCAATCACATCCTTGGGAAGCTTGGTAAGCTGCTTCATGCAGACTCCTGGATACATGCCCTTCAGCTTGTTGCACTGGTCATCATACTCAAGAGCAAAACAAATCTCAGTGGACAAAACAACATAGCTGGACAACTTGAGGTAGGAGATCTCTGGCGGCGGAAACTGCGACCCATCCTCCGGGGGCTCTTCAATGCTGGTCTTGAGGCATGCTGGCTCCAGCACCTTCACCTCCCACTTCACCTCTGTCCCTGTGTTCTGCGACTCACAGCTGTGGAGGTAGATGCCCACCTTTGGCAAGCCTGCCATGGACATAGCATTCAACACATTCTCCAAGACTCCCTGCTTCTGTGCAAAGGGCTGAAGACAGGGTGGAAGGCTTGCATTGTTCTTGGCCTTCAGCAGGACTTTGGAACTGGCTGTGAGACTGTAGGGGATCACTGCCTCTGAGTTGGCCTCCAATAGGGAGTTTGCCTCCTCGCCCCGTTTGAACTTGCCATGCACATTGAACAACAGCCCCTCCAAGTTGCAGTCCACCAGTCCTTTCACATAGAGTTCACCAGATTTGGTCACATAGAACAGGTGCGTTGTGGTGCCAGGAACCTGACAACGACCCATGTCAGGACTGATGGACTGCAGGACAGTCGTGAGCGTTGCACTTGCTGTGTTGGCCGCATCCAGCCTGCAAATGCAAGGATACACTGTGTCTGGAGAAGAACGCCACTCTTACAAAACAAAAAATCAAATCAAGCATCAATTGCAGGACAGGAACTCCTGCACTGAGACATCAGCAGCACGCTTCCCACGGGTTGTGCCCGCGGGGTTGAACTCATCATTGTGCTTCTTGAGAATGTCTGCCCAAGTCATCCCCTTCCACACCTCGCTGTCTGGCAAGGGGACTTTGCCACAACGTTTTCCCTTGTCCACAAACTCTTGCGTCAAGTGCAACTCATTGCTTGCCGATGGGATGGTGAGCTCAAAATCAGACACATTCAAGCTGGGAACGCCCCCAGACTGAGACTGCACGACTGAACACTGACGACGAAATGCCTCAGGAATCTGGGCCAAATGGTAGTCATTGCGCCCAATTGCCCCCTTCACATGCTCTGCAATCACATTTTCAATGTTCACCATCACTTGCTCTCTGACAGCCTGACCGCCAACCCACCCTGCTGCCACATAGCCCATGTCTGGCCAAGTCTTCTGGCTGACCGCATTCAGGCTTGCAATGGCAAGGGCCAACTCTGCATCATAGGGAGAACAATCCTTCACCAGCACAGTGTGGGACTTTCCCAACTTTGTGCCCTTCAAGCTGGCCATGAGCAAATCCTTCAGAAGACTGGGGCCAGAGAACCACTGTTTTCCTGAGATGCAGGACTGACAAGAAAACTTAATATTTCACCCCTTATGATACATCAAACAGACACGTGCTGAATCTTGAGCCCCAGATCGCTCCAGGTCAGCATCTCCATGTGTGGTGCCAGACTGTGCAAAGGCAAGATCCTTTGCAAAATTCGCCATCTTGGCACGCTCCATGCACTGCACCAATCCTGGCACAGCCTTCCTCTTCACCAAGACTGAAGAGGCAAACAGATTCTTGGACGGCTGCGTGGACTGCATGGACTGTGTGGACTGTGTGGACTGCGACTCTTGTCCATCATCAGGGGCCACACTGCCTTGCATGATGATCCAGAACTCAATCCCCAAGTCCCGCTCCTCACTGTACATGCTGTCAACATCAAACAAGCCTGACGCCTTTATGAGGTGGAGAGTTTGACAGGTGTCAATCTCAGTCTTCCACAGAGACTGGTGTAAAGCAACTTTCTGGTCCCGCTCAGCCTTTGAAACTCTGCCTGTGCCATGGGGAGGCTGGTTCGGAGGAATGACGATGTACATGGCGGTGGTGGGAGCATTGCTGAGATCAGAGGCCATCTTTGTAACCATAGACGTCACCACAGTACTTGCCACAACCCCAAGCATTGGAATGTTCAAGACTGCAAGGACCGGGACCTTTGCCACAACAAAACAGCAACCAAAAGGACTCAGATTGCTACTCTGAGACTTTACAGGAAAGCCAAAACGCTCAGACTTAGCTGCAAACAAAGGCACCTGGCCCTTCTCCTTCAACAAGCGCCCAGCCAGGAGTCTGTGCGAACTGTTCTCAAAGGCCTCAGCACTAGCAAGGTTCTTGGCAGATACGACCTGGTAATAGACCTTGTGGCTGTCCCAGGCTTCATTGATGGCCTTGTTCTTATCAGTCTGCCAGTCACACTCCGCGGCAATCGTCTGGACTGCGTGACGGTGGACTGCTGCTCGATGCGCCCTCATGCTGTCCTGCTCTTTCTTCAGTGCACGGGCAAGGGTGATCAAGAGTCGCAGACTCTCTTCCGCATCCTCATCAACAGCAAAGTCCACTGGCAAATCTGGACTGCTAGACTGCGAGACTGAGGACCAAATGTCACCAATCTTGAAATCTGGTCTCATTGCTACGACTTCTGGGAGCAGCTTGCTGTCCAGAAATCCACAACGCCAGTTCTGCATGAACTTCTGGTGCTCTCCTGGCGGCAAGCTGGACTGGAGCTCGGACTGGAAATGCACAATCATGGCTGCCATCAGGTAGACCTCAGTCTCCTTGCCTGCATCTCTGAAGGGACTGCAACTGGCGGCCTGGTAGATTGGAGGGACTGCATTTCTGTCCAGGTACTCCTTGATCTTCATGTTCCACTTGCACTCCACGCGCGTGAGCATCTCCTCAATCTTGGCCCAAGAGTGCCTTGCAATCTCATACCACAGAGGGTTGGCCTCTCTCTGCACACGCAGAATGCCAGTGTTGGCCTTCTGAGGACTGAAGAGCGGAAGGGAAATGCAAGACAGTGTGACTGCTGTGTACTGCGGCGCTTCTGTTCCCCAGATAACCTTGAGCAATCGGCGCAGGGATGGGGGGGCCTGGTCATACACGTAGATGGCATCAATCTCATGCGGAAAGATTTTGGACTTTCCAACAGTGCCCTTGTTGTGCTTGTAGATGGCCTCTTGCAGCAGATCTTTCCGCAGCTTGCGAGAGCCAAGCGCAAGCTTCTGGGCCACGATCCTGTCAAACCTCAGCACCAGCAGTGGTACAATCCCACAGTCAAACAGTCCCTCAATGCAAGAATGCAAAAATTGAAACTGGGAGCCCTTTTGAACTTGAGGCGCACACAAGAAGTGCATGTTGCAAATCGATGGCCTGGACCTTGTGCTGGCGTCTGTCTTGATGCGCAAGCTGTCCAGGGACTGGGCTTCCACAGTGCCCTTGGGGTTGCAGATGCCAAACAAGCCTGTGCAGAAGGGCAGGATTTCAAATTTGAAGCTTCCATATTTAAATTGTTACATGACAACATTCATTCACTGCATTGCAGACTGGAAGCAGATGCACTTGAGAATCCTCTCAGCCACATCCTTCTTGACCTCTGCTGCCATCATGTCCCCAGACTGCAGCCATTGAAGCTTGATGGCTGCCCAGCAGAGCAGATGGCATGCCATGGTCACAGATGAGCCAATGGACAGGGCCACAGTGAAGTCCTCAATGGCAAGTCCAGGTCTTTGACTTGGACTGCAAGACTGTGAGGACTGTGCGGACTGTGAGGACTGTGGGGACTGTGGGGACTGTGAAGCTGAAGACTGCCACCATTGCGTGCCCCACTCAAAAAGGATCTCCAACGGATACTTGTCCGTCTGGCACCCTGTGGTTGTCAGCATCCTCTGGATGCAGTCCCTGATGCCATGGAGGGGCGGTGCCCCTTTCACATGTGACACCTCATGGGCACCAAGCTGCCAAACTCGCAGGCTGAAGACTGTGCATCTGTGGCTTGCCCCCTCCAAGGTCTTGTAGTCAGCATGCTGCGGGTAGTAGGTCTGGTACTGCGTCTCCCTTCCTTGGAAGCCCAACAAGTTGGTGCAGTCTAGATACAGCAAACGAAGAGCCTGTCCATGAGCATCCCTTTGCTGCGGATCCTGCAATTTGGATGCCATCCATTCACACACATCCGTGAACTGCGGTTGGCCATTGGCATCCTTGACATCAATCTCAGTCTTCAACAGGGCCATGGTCTGCTGAAAGAGTTCATGGAGGCCTGCTTGATTTGGACACACTTCTTCTGCCATGGCAAAAGCGGCAGACTGTGTGACTGCAAGACTGCCAGGCTACCAGCTTGCAGCAAAAAGCTTCAGGACCAACCCATGCCAGGCATGCGCCCTCATGCCTGACAGTCACACTTTCATGATGTCATGCAAACAACAACTGCTGCATTGAACCCATTTAAGCTGCCGTGACTCTGCACTCTGCTGGAAACGGGGAGCCTCATAAAGCTGACTTGGGGCGGTAACCAAACAGGAAAGACACATCTTGGCTGCGAACTTTGCTACATTCAGGAAGATGTCAGCTGGAAATCATCATCTAAAAGCAGTCATAATTCCAGACTGTGCTGGACTGCAAGACTGCACTAGACTGACAAAATTTCACTTCTTCTCAGCCATGAATGCAAGAAGCGCCTCTTCAGCAGTCCTTTGCTTCGTCCAAACACTCCAGAAAAGCCGCTCATTGAACTCACCCCAGTCAGCAGGATCCACACGCCTGTAGAAGGTCCTGCGCTTCAGCCTCCACGCCTTGCCGCCCTTGGGGTTCGGAGGCTGGTTGCGTCCTGCAAAGGTCTTCTTCTGGGGCCAACTGCACTGGTCCAGCTCTTCGCTGCTCTCCTGATCGTCTTCATGGGCTGCCTCCTCTCCGGGACTGGCCACGTCCTCGTCGCCATCAGGGAGATCCATGGAACTTGAGTTCCCCTCCTGAAGAGCAGCCTCTTCTGCAGCTGCCACAGCCGCAGCATCCAACCCCCCCAGAAGCAAAGTCTCAGCATCAGAATGGAACATGCCCTCCTCATCTGGCAAGTCAGCAGGGATTGCACCCCTTGGCTGTGGCTCCTTGAGCTTGGCGTCATGATTCTTTAGCTTCTGGGCAGCCGGGCGTTTCATGATGCCAGCTGGCTTCTTCATGACCTTCTTGGCTTTGGGCTGAAGGGACTGCGCCTTGGCCTTGGCCAGGGCCTTGGTCTTTGCCTTGGCCTCTTTCAGGCTCACCTTGGAGTAGTCCACTGTGACCTTGGCAGACATTCTATCATCATCTGCTTGCTTCTCTGGGACCTGCTTCCCTATCTTGTGCAGATATGCAAGCTCTGACATAGTAAGCTTGCCCTCAATAACCTGCACACCCTCTGGTTCCTTGCATTTGGCAGGCGCCTGCTTCTTCAGGCCCTCAGGGGAAGGGTCCTGAAACAAAGCCTTGCGAGGAAACGGTGAGGGAGTTGTTGCAGGACTTGGGCCAGCTGGCAGGCTGACTGTGGGACTGGAGACTGCAGCATCCTCAGGCTGGCAAGTCTCCATTTCCATGTCCTGCGAATTCTCAGAACCCTGGCTGAGATGCGGCACATCCGCCATGCAACCACCAAACATGGCTCACAGCACCTAGGCTTCACAGGGCCTGGCCTGGCCTAGAGACTAATAGATGCACTGGGCCACAAACTGTGGAGTGTAAGCTCAATGTCTCAACTTGCTGCTTCAAAGACTTGCACAAAGCAAATAGACATGACAAGGACAGGAGCAAGGCTCTACACCCATGCACAGCATTTTTGCAACAGCAGCTGCCATCCAGTTTAAATTGCTTGAAAATGATGCAAGAGTGCCCTAGGCCCATGGGTCTGAGTCAAATCCTTCTTCAAGGGCAGGGGTCGCCTTCTGTGCAGCTGCAGGCTTTCGCACAGAGGGCTTCTTCTTCGTCTGCTTCACTTTCTTCTTCATCGCTTTCATTGCCTTCTTCTTCATCACTTTCATGGCCTTCTTCTTCTTCATGGCTTTCTTGGCTTGGGGCACCTCAACAGGCTGTGAGTCCGACCAGGGATCATCATCCAGATCGTCATTGTCAGGCTGGACTGCCTGGACTGTCCGGACTGCCTGGACTGGTTGGACTGCAGGCTTTTTTTGGACTGCTCTGGCTGTTGGGACTGCAGGCAGACTGTGCTGTCGTCGAAGCAGTGCTGGGTCTGTGGACTGACCATTTGCCAGCCAAGCCAAAACAATTGACTCCCCCAAAGCAGGTGGGTACAAGCCACTCTCTTTGAGATCAGTTGTTCCATTGACCTGAATTCTGCCATCTGGAAGCTCCAGTGTTTCCATGAGGTCCAAATGAACCCCAGTGCAGGAGCACTTGCGGACTGCTGGCTTGAACCAGTCTCCTGAAGCCATGAACTTGTAGCCTTTCTTGAAAGTTGGCCTTTCCATTACATAGGCGCACCGCGACACATAGAAATACATAGATGGCACAGTGCGACCAAGCGCTGCAGCAAGCCTGGCAATGTCCTGCTTGAGGAAGGAGAAAATCATTGAGCTGATTGGGTTTTCCAAGCAAACATGAAGGCCCCTGGAAATGCCCAGGCAGTAGAGCCAAAATGAGAGTCCTTATCTGGCTGCACAGGGCTGTCTGTCTGCATTCACAAGACATGTGGGGCATGAAGCTTCAAATTTGCCAGGCAAGTCTCGCGCCATGAGGTTGCCCTTTCGAACAAAGGCCTGGCTGGTGTCACCACCAAAATTTGAACGCTTCCTCCCAGACTGTGAGGAACAAGCAAATCCAAAGGAAGAGCAGTCTGGCGCCAGGCATAGCAGCCCCCCAATCTTCCTGAGATTCAATCATGTCTGCCATGTTCTCCCACCCACACACTGCATCACTACAGCAAACACTCTGTCTATCACCAATTGCTCCAAGTCTCAGGCGCATGACCAATTTCACAGCTTGAAAGAACCCAACTTCAGTTGTGATATCAGACTGATGCTTGTTCATGTAGTCATAGCTCTCTGCTGAGAGGTCTCTGGCTTTGGCTGCCTTTACCAAAGACTGAGAGACACTGAATATCTCCACCACATCTAGGTCTCGTTGCTGGTTCGCCAGGGAAGCTTGTTCCATGGCTTCCAGCACTGTCCACCCAAAGGCCACAAACCTGCAGGCGCCTGTCAGCTCTTTCATGCTTGCGTGCTTCATTGCCCACAGGACTGCAGGACTGCAGGACTGCAGGACCAAAAAGGCTGCAGGACAGAACAGCAAGTTGTCAGCTGCAAGCAACCAAGTGAATCCAGTTGTCAGCAGCAAGCAATCAAGTGAATTGCTTTTTCATGCTTGCGTGCTTCATTGCCCACAGGACTGCAGGACTGCAGGACTGCAGGAGCTGACATTTCAACGCTTAAACCGGGCCATGAGCCTCCAGCAAGTGGATGGCAGACATGGCAGCTGTGCATTGCCATCTGGGACTGCAATGAAATGCCGTGGTGGCTGCATCAAAAATGTGAGCTCAATGACGTGGTATCGCCTTTCCACCATCATGGCGTTCAAGGCATGAGCAGCATTTGGAAGACCATACTTCCCTGCACAAAGGTCTGCTATCTGAGACCAAGTTTTGATCTGTGCATCAGTCAAAGGAACCATGGCATGCACCATGGGCGGGCTGCCAGCCAAGATTCTTTGCAGCCGCTCTGGCGTGCACATCAGCAGCGGCGGCTGACTCAACAGCAAATCTCGCACATACATCTTGACACAAACATAGACTGCAAAAGGGTTCACACCCTCAGGCAAGAGGTCTCTGTGCTTTGCTGGCATGGAATCACCTGCAACAAAAGTATAGCAATGCGGGACTTCCACCCGTGCCAGCCCTGGCGTCTGGTTGAGGGACCGGGCCTTAAAGGCATTGTGCAGTTCCACTTTCATGGGCTGAAGCCAAGCATCAAAATTCCGGACACCAGTCACATGTCTTGCCACCAGTTCGCCACGCTGAAGAATTTGACTGCAGGACTGTAGGCCTGGGTCAACATGCAAGCAACACAGCGGCAGGCTCAGGGACTTGGAAAGAACTAGAAAAAATAGAAAGCAATCTAATCTTTATTCTTGAGGCGCCTGTTCGGATGTGCTCCAAAATCTCTTCGGGGGTCTGCCAAGATTGTTTCTTCTTCATGATGGAAAAGACCACAGCAAACAGCTGATCAATATCCTCATGAGTGTGCCCTTCCATCAAATGAAACAGTGTTGCAGATTTGAACAGCTTCTTGCCGACCAGGTAGGAAAGAAATCGCAACACAAACTGGTTCTTGGCACTCTTGACTGTGTTGTCTGCTATGACAACCAAGTGTGCAGGAAAGACACGGCGCCTGACTGGAGGACTGTCGGACTGTGGACTGTCAGGCGGATTGCAGGCACGCCAAACATTCTGTATGGTCTGACAGAGGACTTCACAAAAGTAGTCTGAACCACCCATGACATTGGGATTGGCCATATATAAGTATGTGCCCCAGCCATGGGCTATGGCGCCTGTGAAGGTGACTGTTGGCCGGATGAGGTTCTCCATCTCTGCAGGTGATTTCCGGAATGGAAACTTTGGCCAAGCAAACTTGCTATGGTCCATATCATCAATAATGATTGTGAGGACTGAGCTGGAGCCACAAGCTGGCAGGGGATCTTCAGACATTCCATGACTTTGGGCCTGGGAAGCAAAGCGCAGTGACCAGTATAACATCCTGTCCTCATACTGCTCAGCCTGATGCCGTCGCAAGGTTTTTGCTGCTTCCATCTTGGTGGACAGTGGGACTGTAGGACTGTGCAAACACAGCTGCAAATCAAAACAAATCTGGCACTGCTTATGCTGACTCTTCTCCCGCATGTGCAGCATACCACACCAGTGCGAGTTCCACCGACGCCGAAAGGTATCATAGCTTGGAATGTCTCTTCCAAATTGCTCATGGGCCTCAGATAAAGTGGCCCACTCCGCCTGGAACTGCCAGTACAGGTCTGAAATCTTGCACTTCTGAATGTATCTCCGCTGGAGGCCACCTGCATTGGCCAGGCAGGAGACAGTGACTGGTGGTGACATGTGCTGGTACAGGTTGTCCTTCACTTGGGGGTAGGTAACAGTCAGAAAATAACTTATCAGGAAACCCAGCAATGAAATGGAAATACTAATTATTGGAAGCACTCAAGAGTCCTGGTCCCAGGGATCGTCCATGACAGCTTCATCATCCTCTGGCATGGCCTCTGCAACTGACTGGTGCAGCTCACGAAAGAAGTGGTCACACTTCACAGCGGCATGGCATTCTCTGGACTGGCCGCCCACATGTGTGCCATTGAACTTGGATTTTCTCATATCTGGTTGGCCTTTGATATACTTCCGTATGGTGGTCTGGGAACAGCCAAGCTTGGAGCAAAAATTGGCAAAGCAGACTTGTTGGTCACCGATCATGTAGTTGGTCTGCGTGACTGAGGCACGGTCGCAGCCATATGTTGAAAGCAAAAGCTGCAGCCGCTGATCCTCTGTAAGGTGCCAGAAATCTGTACACAAACGCTGCAGGCTGTCAAGTACCAACCCACGCCCAACACAGGCAGGGAAGGTGCATCCTGACCGAGGGCATGCGGCCCGCCAGCGAAGACGAACTTTTTCAGGGTCACAGCCATTTCTGTCGTAGCTGTTCAAGATTTTTTTTGTTGGACCTGTCCCAAGCAAATTGCAGCCAGCTTCCAAAGCCACTGTTCTAGTACGCTTCTTGGACTGTTGACTGCAGGACTGTGAGTCTGCCCAGGGTCATCACAGTCTCCCAGTCCCTCAGCCCACGGATCACTAGCACTCCATCCCAGGGGTCTGAAGAGGTTGTCCAGGGATCTGACTCAGCACCATCTTCTACTGGGCATTCTTTAGCCACATGAGGTCTGCAAGCTCTCTTCTTGGGACGTGGTTTGGGCGCCATAAATGGCTGGCAACCCGTTGCCATGCTGGCAACTCTTTGCAATGGATAACTTTGCAAAACAAAGTGCCTGCCTTTTTTGCACGACTGGTCACTGCTGGTCTATGTCTTCAGCTCCATCTGCTCTTGAAGCACAGTTCTTGGCCTTTTGCCTCTGCTTCAACTGCAACTGCCTTGCCAGCAACCTACTGCGCTGCGATTCTTCACGCTTCACACGAAGAATCTCTTTCTTCTTGGCTTTGGCTTCTTTGCGTGCTAGCACTAAGGGATGGGCTGCCCAAGCTCTTGTGACATACTGCATGGACAGTCCACGCCCTAACATTGCATTGTAAAAACAGCATTGCTGCTCACGAGGCGTTTTTTGGCCACAAAGTAGAAGAGCTTCAAGATCTTCTTGACAAAATGTCGTTTGTTCATGGGGGCCCTGCTGCAGCTTCATCTTTCTGGTTCGTCTCTTCATGGAAGCAAACCGGCGTTGGGTCACGCAAGCTGCAGGCTGATCACCACTGGCATCAAACTGCGGCGTCGAAACTCTAGCTGGTCCTCGTGCATCTTTGGGCTCTTGAAGCCTGGGAATAGCCAGCATCCAGCCACCAAACATTGCCACCTTGGATATCACAAGCTGGATGTAAGATGGCAGGCAAGAAAACAAAAACTGACAGGGATATGACCCCCTTCCCCTCATATGAATATGACACACTTTCCAAGGACCAAAAAACGGAACCAAAAACACCCCACCAACCCCCCCACCACCAACCCGCCACCACCCACCCCTCACCCCCCCCCCCCCCCCCCCCCCCCCCCCCCCCCCCCCCCCCCCCCCCCCCCCCCCACCCTCGAGGAGGCTGAAATCCCTACACCCTGCATGGCAGTGTTCGGTCCGAAATCATTCGGGGAAATTGCTTGGTTTTCCAGATTGGTTTGGGGGGTTTCCTTGATTTCCATATGAAAGCCGGTGGCCTCTATCTGCCGGCTTACATCTGGAAATCAGCGGTTTGACGAAAGCATTCGGGAAAATTGCTTGGTTTTCCAGATTGGTTTGGGGCCGAATACCAGCAAGCTGGATGTTGGGGTTTCAGCCTCCTCGTGTGTTTGGGGGGGGGGCGGGGGGGGGCTCGGGAAAATCTTTAGACGTTCCAGAAGCCTCACCCCCCTTTTAGCCACGAGCCCTCGGGAATATCAAGCGGGATTCCCTAACGTTTGAAAAAATTAAAAATAAATGGGGCGGGCTGGGGGGGGTGGGATGGGACTAAGAAGAAACTGTTTCCTGTTCATGGACAGAGGGAGGGGAGAGGCACCTCATGAGAGCTGAAGTGAACCAATGCACCAATGCTCAATGACAAACTGATGAACTCTCACAGTCAGACAGTCATGCAGTCATGTAGTGCAGACACAGCTGCAATGCGGCGTCTGGACTGCTGGACTGCTGGACTGCTGGACCTGCCCAGAATCTTTAGGGCGGTTTAGGGTCCAGGCAAGGCAAAGCAGGCTTCTGCCCCTTAAGGGTTGGGGTGTCATTGTTACTGATTCCTGTCAGCAGCTGGCAATTCAAAGTATGTCCTTTGGCTTGAAGCCAACTTGAACGTCAACCCTAATACCCTGAGCCTGAAAGAAGCTCAAAGTATGTTCTTGGACTTGAAGCCATTCAATTTGAATGTCAATGCTAATATTGGCCTGTGAAGTCCGTGTCGGCCAGCAAGTCTTGTTGGCCTCTGGGTTTAGGGTTGGGGTTTAGGGTTCTGCGTCAGGCTTTGCATCATTTCTCAAGATTCAGGCTGGTTGCATGTCAGTCTTCAGGTAGACTTGGGATGTTACAGTGGGACAGCATCTAGCTGCACTTGCACTGACTGACAAACAACAAACAAGGACAGGCAGTCAAGCAACTGAACCAATGCTGACCTGGCGGCCAGATGCACAGTCTGGACTGCAGACAGTTGGACTGCAGGACCTGACCAGGGATGAGGGTTCCGGTTTGAGGGTTCCGGGAGCGCCTGTGAGAGAGAGAGAGAGGGTTCCGGGAAAGGGGAGGTGCCCTGAGGTGCCCCTTGGTACTGATTGACCCTCAACAATAGCTGGCCTGAAATGTCTTCAACCCCAAAGGCAGCAGAAACTGGCCTTGAAGTTTGTCTCCACCAGCCAGTGTCCCCCTGTTAGCCTCCACACAATGCAAGGCGCTTTAAAGCCCAACATTTTCCCTTAGCCCCTTAGGGTGTTAGGGGGTCCAGCAATTCTCAGAACCACAGGCTTGGACTCTTGCACTGGTTTTCAGAGAAGGCATTTCAGGTTGGGGCACTTTTCTGCAACAGAGCCCTAAAGCCTGAAATGAAGACAGTCTGCGCAGTCAGTCGCCCTGAAGCATGACATGGAGACAGTCTGCACAGTCCCTCAGTCCAACTCTCCCTTCCCCCCCCTCAAGAGCTAGGCCTTCAACCATTCGAATCAACTGGAAGGAAAGCAACACCCTTTCTACAGCTGCGCTGGCGCTGTGCCAGGGCCCTGGCCCAACTGCAAGCTCTGGGAGGGCAGGATGCAAGTAATTCCTAATTAGTTTGGGCCTTGAAGCTTCAGCATTCGACTGAGCAAGTAGCTGCAATGTGGTGTGGCTGCAAGACTGCAGGACTGCTTGAAATCCCAAGCCCTCAACCCTCTGAGGCACAGACTGGGAGACTGCGGAACTGTTGGACCACCTGAGGAGACAGAGGAAGGGTCAGGCGTGGGTTTAGGGTTGAACGGTATAGGGTCTTGGGTTTAGGGTCTTTTTTTGAATCTATGATTCAGAGATTAGCATTTGGGGTGCAGTCTTTGGGGTTGTCTTTCTGGGGCTGCAAACCCCCAACCTCTGAACCCAAAACCCTGCTACCCTAACCCCTAACCCTCCCCAGCGCTGAAAGCCTGATGTTAATTTGAAACCAAAGGTTCTACATCCCTCAATACACTTAGTCTCTTCTGCCCCTGAAATGAGCTTCACCCTGGGTTAAAACAACTGGCTGCAAGGCTTGAAATAATCTGCCCCTGAAATGAGCTTCACCCTGGGTTAAAACAACTGGCTGCAAGGCTTGAAATAATGAGTAGAGGCTTGGTGCCCTGTAAAGAAATAGAACAGTCTGGGTTAAACAGCATCAGAGGCAGGGTCTTGGGTGTTTGGTTTAGGGTTCAGGGATTTAGGGTTCAGAGGTAGGGTTTGGGGTGTCTGGTTTAGGGTTCAGGGGTTTAGGGTTCAGGGGTTTAGGGTTGGGGGCTTAGGTTTAGGGATTTATGCATCGCCGGACTGTTGGACTGTGGACTGTGTTTTGGCAGCTTTGACAAAGCTGGGGACGGCCAGCTTGTGGGTAACCAGTCCCATGTCAAATATCCTCTTGTGGCTCGTCTTGGTGTAGTAGCCGCCATTGGCGCACATGCACTGGCCACTGGTCCAGATGCAACCCACAGCCATCTTTTTGACTGTGCCACAGTGGGACTGCAGGACTGCAGGACTGCAGAACTGCCATCCAAACCCTAAGCCTTAAACCCTACCAGCTACTAGGTAGGTACGGGCCTAGGGGCAAAGGGACAACAGGGAACTGCCCAAAACAATACCTCAAGTGCAAGTCTGCAGTCTGAAAAACCCTCAGTCCCACAACCCTGGACCAGAGTCTGGCATGCCTTGTACAGTCTCCCAGTCCCTCAGCCCCACGGTCTTAAGCCTTACATGGCCCTGAACCCCAGTCTGGCTTGTGAGGCACAGGCACAGACTGCACCAGGGCGGACAGAGGGACTGCTGGACTGTCACCTGAAGCAGCATGACGGTGAGCTGCTACATTTTGGAACTTTGGGGTTTAGGGTTAGGATTTAAGGTTGCAGCTTGAAGCCGCTTTTATTGGAGTACCAAGACTGCTGCCGTCTAGGAGTCTGGGCAATAGGGGTTGGGCTTAAGGTTTGGCCTGTAGGCTTTGGGCTCCAAGCCAAGGCCGATAAGCCCAAAGACTAAACCCAACACCTCAAACTAACCAGTACAACTTTATTGGATGTTGACTATACTGTCATCCCTTTTGCCCACTACCCCAAGTGCTGAAACCTTAAACCTGAGACTGTATAAGGGATTAGGGCTGCCAGCTTAGGGTTTAGGGTCCAGGGTTACGGTTTAGGTTTAGGTTTT